CGCTTCAGGTTCCTGAGACCCCTGGGTCGGGCAGGCTGGTCGCATCTCGGGCACCATCCTCAAAGCCGGATCCCCAGGAACACACTCCTCATCACTCGCGATTCTGGGTCAGCAGAGGCAGCGCGAGCCACAGGGACTGGGCGGACGTCCAGACCCAGCGCCAAGGAGCCGGCGGCAGCCATTGCACCGTGCCCGGAAGTAGCTGGGCTCAGTCGTCAGCGGAGCCAGGGAAAGGGGTCGAGGCGGACCGACTCCCGCCAATGGGAAGAGGAAAGCGCGCCCCGCCCCGATTGCCACCACCTATGGGGATCGAGGGGCCGGAGAGCGGAGGCCAGGATCGCTCCAATCAAAGCGCAGTGCCGAAGAGTACAGCCCACCCCCTCAGTGCCAGGACCCAATTCGAGGCGGGAGGCCGGGCGACCCGAAGACATTCAAATCAACTCGACCTCCGCCCTCCCGGCCCGCCCCTCTCAGAAAGAGGAAAAAAGACAGCGGAAACAGATCCATGCCAGTCATTACACAAGGCCCGCCCTCATCCGGCCTGGTCACCAATGGCTACGCAACAGATTCATAAGGACATTCCACGGAGACGCCAAGGCCAATCACTAGGGTGCTAAGGCGGAACGTTCCGCAATATGCTAATTAACTTCCTATAAAAGTCGCTGCGAAGCTACGTCCGGAGCAGAGCGCGCAGGGGCGCTTTCCCGGCAGGGTTCTCTGGTGCGTTCGCAAGCCAGCTTGCCTTCCATTTCACCCCCTCCGACGCTTCCGTTTCCCTGCTGCGCGGCCCTGTAAACACGAGTAAACTCGCAGAGACGATCCACGTTCAAAACACAACCCACAGTGCCCTGACTGACCCGCGGTAAAGTTTCCCTAACAGCGAACAATTCCCGGCGGACACTAAGCCTCCACCTCTCTGCCACTCCGGGCGGCTGGGTCTCCAGGAAAGGACCCACAGGTCCCCTCACCTGCCACAATCCTCTCCAACCAGAAGTCGGCCAGCGCCCCCCGAGCGCAGCACAGATGGGCGCCTTCCCCGCCTCCGCTCCTCCCCTTCCCTTCCCTTCCTACTGCACACCCGAGAAAAGCCCTCATCCTCCGCAAACTACACCGGCGGTGTCGCCCCTCCCGGTCGGCCCCGCTCCATGTCCAGCGCCAAGGGCCGGAGGGGGCTGGGCGGGAGCAGCGGCGACCCCGATCGAGCCCTGCCCCGTACTTTATGTAACACTCGGATGCAGGACCGGG